GAGCTGCACCGTGTCCCTCTCCAGAGGATGGCAGCAGAGCTCAAGCAACCCTGAAGGACCTTTTTCCCCGCCCTGGCTTATAGAATCGCAGAATGGTTTGAGTGGAAAGGGATCTTAAAAATCATCTGGTTCCAACCACCCAAGTTCAGACTCTGCTGAGCTCCCTGCTATTTTCAGGCATGGCTTAAGCAAGTTTTCCAAGAAATCCAGACATGACAGGATGAAGTAGTGCTGAAAAGTATAAAAAATCTGGATGGGAGTTCCAGGTAGTATCAGAAGAAATTAAAGCAAGCAGCACTAAAGGAGCAGAATCACCTCCAGACAAATGGCTGTACCAGTGGATTCCTAGGATAGGGGTGTCCTACCTAGATCCCATCTGATCCCCTGTCCTGCAACTCCCCAGGCTGTGCAGGACCTGATTTCCCACTTTTCTCATAAAAAAAAAGGGGGGGATTTCAACGGTTTGGAAAAGCTGACTGCCACACCACAGGACTGCCTGGTAAAAATAAAAAGTATTTATTTCAGCAAGCTATGGAAAGTGTGTTATGGATGATTAGACCAGCATGAAACAAGAGCTGGGAAAATTTGTAAAATAAGGAACTTTCAGTGTTAAATAAAGGTGAACATGCCTTGTACTCGTTGTAGATTTTTTTCCTTAAAGTTATGCCTTTTTTGGTAAGCTATTTCCAGAGTAAAATGAAAATGCTATGTTTATAAATAAATATATCTATATTAAAAAAATATGTCTACAGCAGGGTTGCAGCATTGGTGGATAGGGGAAGAGTGTTTGACATTATCTACTTTGTTTGTGCAAAGCATTTGAAGCTGTACAGCATGACATCCCTATATTTAAACTGGAGAGACATGATGTTGGTGGATGGACTGCTCTGTGGTTAAGGATGTGGCTGGATGGTCACACTCGAAGGGTTGTGGTCAATGACTCAATGTTCAAACAGAGACCAGTGATGAGCAGTGTTCTTCAGGGGTTGGTATTGGGACTGGACTGTTTAACATCTTTGTTAGCAACATGGACAGTGGGATTGGGTGCACCCTCAGTGAGTTTGCTGATAACACCAAGGTCTGCGGGGCTGTCAAGGTGCTGGAGGGAAGGGATGCCATCCAGAGGGGTCCTGCCAGGCTGGAGCAGTGAGCCTATGTGAACCTCATGGAGTTCAACAAGGCCAAGTGCAACATCAGCCTGTGAGTTGGGACAATCCCAAGCACAAACAGGCTGGGCAAAAAAATGGGCTGAGAGCAGCCTTGCAGGGAAGGATTTGGAGGTGACCAGAAGGTCAATGTGAGCTGGCAGTGAGCACTCACAGCCCAGAAAGCCAAACTTGTCCTGGGCTGCACCAAAAGCAGCATGGCCAGCAGAGCAAGGGAGAAGATTCTGCCCTTCTATCCTGCTCTGGTGAAACCCCACCTGCAGTGAGGTGCATCCAGCTCTGGGACCCCCAACATAAGAGGAACCTGTTGGAGAGGGTCCAGAGGAGGCCATGAAGATGGTCAGAGAGTCGGAGCACCTCCACCATGAAAATAAGCCAAGACAGCTGGGGCTGTTCAGCCTGGAGAAGAGGCAGCTTTGGGGAGACTTTTCAGCATCTTCCAGTACCTAAAGGGACTACAAGAAAGCTGGAGGGACTTTTTAAAAAGATATGCAATGATGGCACAAGGTGTAATGGCTTTAAACGGAAAGAGCACAGGTTTAGATTAGATATTAGAAAGAAATTCTTTACTGTGAGGAGGTGGTGACACACTGGAATATGTTGCCCAGAGAAGCTGTGGATGCCCTTTCCTTGGAAGGATTCAAGGCAATGTTGAATGGGGCACTGAGCAATATGATTTAGTGAAAGGTACTCCTGCCCACGGACTAGAGGTTCCTTAAGGACACCTTCCAACCCAAACCATTCTGTGAGTCTATGATTCTATCGATTACATGCTTATTTAGTCAAGGTACCCTTGCCTTTGTCTTCCCCAGTCATCTTGATCTCCTAAGGCAGAAGTTTTACTTTCCTTATTAAACAATCAACACTTCTCCCCAGGCAACAGTGATTGTCCAGTGTATACCTGTCCTGAAAGATTGTGTTGGAGAGGTTTGCAAGGCTGTGAGTCCATCTGATGTGTCATGAGCATTTCCAAGAAAAGACATCCTAAATACAGGATTCCCAGCAACAGTTCATCACCTGTGGTCTGCTCTGTACACTTGGTGGTCACTAACTCTATTAGTATCCCCTGCCCTTGGTTCCTGAGTGAGCACAGCAAGAGGGGGAGCATAAAGTGACAAGTAGATACCTGTCTTGCTGTCACTGGTCATCTCTTACACATGCTAGAGACTTTCCTCTGGTACACATTTGCTGTGATTTCCTGTGGGGAAGAGCCTGGCTTGTAGGCTGTGGCTTGACTGATACTGATAGAGAGTTTGTTCCCAGCCTTTTCAAAGACATTTGACTGGTTTTTGCTGCCTTGTTTATCACTCTGTCAGATTTGTGAGGTCTGGCAGTGCACATGAACAGCAGCTCATTCCATCTTGTGCTGCTGCTAAGCAGCGTTCTCCTCAGGCCCAGGTGTCACTGCACTGGGAACTGCTCTAGATCAATAAGCTGCTTTATTCCCGTGTTGGTTTTGCACAGCCTGGTTTTTGGTAGTGAGGTGGCCACGGAAGTGGCTTCTGTGAGAAGCTGCTGGAAGTTTCCACCATGTCCAGCAGAGCCAAGCCCTGATGGCTCTGAGGGTGGACACACTGCTGGCAGAGGCTGGGCCAATGAGAGACAATGGCAATGCCTTTGTCATAACACATTTGACAAGAAACCAAAATAAAGATGGAGACACAGTTTTAATTCCAGACAGAGAAGAGGAGCAGGTGAGAAGATGCGAGGGACACAACATGGAGACACCAAGGTCAAGGGAGAAGGAAGGGCAGGAGGTGCTCCAGGCGCCGGAGCTGAGATTCCCCTGCAGCCATGGTGAAACCATGGTGAAACAGCTGTGCCCCTCAGCCCTTGGGGATCGATGGGGGATGCAGAGATCCACCTACTGCCCATGAGGATCCACAGGGAATGCAGAGATTCACGAGGGATGCAGAGATCCATCCACAGCCCATGGGGATCCATGGGGGATGCAGAGATCCATCCACAGACCGTGGCAGAAATGCTCACCCTGGAGTGAGTGGATGCCTGGAGGAGGCTGTGATCCTGTGAGAGACCCAGTGGAGAGAGGGGGCCCCTGCTCCCAGGCTGGAGCAGCCTGTCCTTGGAGGACTGCACCCTGTGGAAGAGGGACCCATGCTGCTGCACGTTTGGGAGGACTGCTGCTCATGGAATTGGAATCATGCTGGAGAAGTTCACAGAGAGTTTTCTCCAGTGGAAGGGACCTCATGGTCTCACAGGGAAACAACTTCTCTCCTTTCACAGGGGAAGAAAACCTTGGGTGGCGAACTGACCCAAACCCCCCACCTCCTTGTCACCCTGCACTGTCAGTGGGATGGAGGGGCTAAGGGGAAAAAGGTGTTTTTGAGAATTTATTTTACTTCTCATCATCCTGCTCTGATGTTGTTAGTAATCAACTCACTTTGTGCCTCTAAGTTGAGCCTGTTTTGTCCTTGGAGTGTTTCTTCTTGATCCTTATTCAGCTAATGAACCCTTTGTTAAATTTTTCTCTGCTCTGTCCAGCTGTAGCAGGGGAGGTTGAGTGAGTGGCTTTCGTGGGTGCCTGGTGTTTGGCCAGTGTCAAACCACGACATCCCCACAGGTCACGTTGCACTGGGAGGGTGTCTCACAGCACCAGGTCTAGTCTGAGTGCACTTGCCTCTGGGGCACAGAGATCATAAACAGGCCAGGGGCCTGGGGGATCCACGATGAGTCTGCTGAGCTCTGGGGCTAATGGTGTTTACCTAGGTGAGCTGCACTCTGCTAATCCATGGGACTGTGTGAACAGGAATAGGGCTTTGGGACCGCACAAATGACAAAAAGGCAAGTTTGCACCAACGAGGGGAATTCCTTATAGGATTAATCTGCTGCAGCTGTGCACATTTGGCCATGTCTTGGCCAGCTTTTGCCAGCAACATGCTTTGCTGTTTTTGAGATTTAATTTACCAGGATGGAGAATTTCATTTAAGTTTTACCTTAGTATTGCTCTAATAAAAGTCAAATAAGGCACTGCAAGAAAACGTAGCAGCAGCAGTTGTCCTCCCCCATAAGGGGAAGGAATACTCTGACAAAGAAAACCAAGAAGAAATTGAAGCATCAATAACTGAATAACTGAAAGTGAGGCAGCTGTTTAAAAAAAACAGACAAGTTTTACCATTGGGATCAAGCATTCAGTCAATTCAAATTTATGAAAACAATCTGTTGGGGGTTGAATGCTTCGCTTTTCTTTCTGTGGAATTTCTCCCATTGTTATGCTAAGTAATTGTGGCTACACCTTAAAACGACAGATAATGTTCTCTCGTAGGGGGGTGGCTGGAGGGGGAGGGGGGGAACCGGAAAATGAAAGGTGGGATAGGGGGGTCTGGAGCTGGGCGCGCTCTCGCTTGGCTCCTGGAGTGGGAAGACAACCTGGGCTCTGCTCTGGCATCTTCCCCTGCCATCCCAGCACTGAGATCCACGCTCCCTGCCTTTGGACATCGCTCTGCTGCTCTCCCACCTCACCCTACTANACAATCTGATTATGTAATTTGGGCAGTAAAAGGCTATATCATCAGTATGATCAATGTCTTGAGATACAATCAAATATGTGATATTTAGGTACAGGCTGCAGGTGAGAGTTTGGCCAGGATCACAGCAATTATCAACATGCTCACCAAGATTTTAGCTCTGGTTGAGTCAAGCCTGAACCCACTGTTACTGAACAGTGAAACTGGAAGGAGATAAATCCTTTCATGAGACATCCATGAAAAAGGCCTCAAAGTGACTGCATGAAACATTCTCTGGATACACAGAGACAACTCATCATGAAAGGGCAATATTTATCTACACTAAACAGTACATGAAACAGACACGCTGTTGCTTGCAAGAGCTTCTTTAATGGCACCAAGACAAAATGGATTAGAGACAATAGCAGAAGCCATGAGATTGAAAGGGCATTTTAAAACAAATCACAAAGAATGTGACAAAAGCAGAGGCAGAGAACAAGGTCTCAAATTTTCTTGCTAGTGCTGCATCTTCCTCAGCTTTGGAGGATTTGCATTCTAATAAGAACGGCCAGAGCGAAGGGGACGCAGGAAGGAAAGCTTGTCATTGAAATTGATTGCCTTGTAATTGGGAAGGTTTTCATGTTCTCGAGCAAGGTATTGAATTCCACTTCCATCGCTGTTTTCACACAGCAGCCAGGCACCTCTCTGGACTTTGTGGGAAGACATGATGTCATTGTCGTGTCCTGCAGCCAAGTTGGTTGCTTCTTTTATTACTCTGCTCTTCCCTTGATAGTTGATATGCTCATAGAGAGTGATCTCAGGGTTGCTCAGATCTTCAGTGATCATCTGCAGAGAACTGACCTTGTTATTCATCTTTGAGGTAAAAAGGTTATGGTCTCCCTCCTCGAGTACCAGAAATCGGCCTCCGTAGTTTGAATGCTCATAAAGCACCCAAGGCTGGCCAATTACTTTTGCAGAGGAGGCAAGATCATTCCAATCTGCATCTCTTAGATTGGCAATATCAGAAGTGAATTCTTTGGACAAACCCTGGAAGTTGGAACGCTCATAAAGGATGATTCTTCCCATCTCAGTAGGACTTAGAGAGTTTTAATGTCTTCCTCTAGCAGTCAGATGGCAGCCTACAGAAAAGGAAGACGGAAAATTTGTAATGCTTTTAAGAAGCCTTTTGGACCTTGAAAAACAATGATGGACACCCGGGGGAAAAAGGGGGAAAGGAAAAATGAAACATTTTGAACAAAGAATAAGCATAAAAATAGCTGGAAAAGAGTGAGAGCATGACATGCGTGAGTTGGTTTAGGTGCATACCCAAGATCAAGTTGTAAAATACTCTCATGTCCAGCCCTCACAATTGTGTATCACTGACCCCCTCCACCCTCTCTCTTTTTGGGTTGGTTTGTCCTGCAGCAGCCACCTCCTCATGCCCTGAAGGATGGGTTCAGTCTCTGCA